TTGATACATTTCGCTGCTTGTCCAAGCAGCTTCTTCAGTCTAGAAAGTGCATTCATCAGTCCCCAGGAAGATTAAGACCACTTCACAAGTTCACCAGGGAGGCAGCACTTAACGACCCACTTGGGGATGGGTGAGGGATTAGGAGCAAGATATCCACATCCCAAAGACTCTACTAATCACATCTATTGTCCCTTCAATAAGCCCATCATGTCAGTGAGAAATGCAGCCACCCTGGAAGACATTTATGGGGTCCCCCCTAACCAACTTTCTAGACTGAAGAAGCTGCTCGGACAAGCAGCGAAAGTATTGAACCAAAAGAAAAGAAGCCCAGTTGCCATGACTCAAACTCCAGATTCTGCTCTTGTTCTGAGTCCAGAAGTAACTAATCTAATCCACAAATATTGGCTAAACAGGAAACACATACACCAAGGTGAGTGCGCTTTCCATCCTGTGTTTTGTTTCATGAACTCAAAACAGTGGTTGCTCTATTTGGACTCAGTGGACACAAACAGTGATTGAACTACTTGTTTCAGAGCCAACAAAAAGGCCCAATATGCCATCTTGATATATAGGATTCTAACATGAAGACCTTGGATATTCTGTTTACCCTTCAACCCTACTCCATATCTTTAAAAATGAGAGTCTCCCATCCAGTGATAAAGCCTGTTACAGGAAGCTTTAAGATTTTATGAATCTCAGTAAGGCTCTTTGGAAGAATTTCCAGTCATTGTCCAAGACTATTTGAAATCAAAATGGATTATATAAATGCCATATGACTTCTGAGTAATACCAAGTCAGGTTAGTGAGATTGCACTCTAAGTTTGTTAATGCTATGTGGCTCATATTTCAACTAAAACCGACAATTATAAGTTGACTTGGAAAATGTCCCAAAGTTGTCATAAACATCATTGATTTACTCCACTTAAAGGTGATTTCCTAATGTTTTAGTCTTTTTTGCATGACAGTCTACCTAAACATCTTCCATTCTTCTCATCAGGCAAGCTGCAATAATAGACACCATTCTCTGAATTGGTGATAAACCAGATTTGTGAAATATTTGCTTCATGGAACTTCTTTTACCTTTCTCTTGTTTTTTCCATAGATTTCCCTACTGAGATCTGCCTTTACACTGAAGATTCTCACAAGTCACCTGTTTGAGTCTCAGCTCCATTCCTCTCAATGATTATAATTTGAATGTTACTTTCCTAATTGTTCTAACATCTGTCAGAAGACAAGGGGAACGAGAGAGACATTCAAAAAGAGAAAAACCTATTATATGTGATTCTTAAGTTTGATATTTTTATCAATATCATCAAACTTCATTTTGCTCCAGCCACAGAAAACTGCCCTTCCTGATTTTGTCCTAAGTTTCCCACATCAAAAAAAAAAAATTGTAGAAACTTAATATATAAAGCCAAAGACTCTGGAAATTTACATTAATTACACCATGAATTCTAGTAATGTAATGTTTTTGCTTCACTTACATTAAGAAAGGAATGGCAAGAGTCATTATCATAAACTGGGTCAGTCACTATCCCTGCCTCCAGACATTACTGCTCAATTCTCCTCCTTGAACCTTCAGTTTTAGCACCCTTTTTTTCAACCTAAACCTAATGAAAGACATTGGTAAACTTATTTCAGATCTCCTTTGCTGGCATCATCATGCATTAGTTTACCCCTAGTGGTCTTATTTGTTATGGCTTAATTGCTGAAATACAAAGGTGTCTCTGTGGAACATACGTGTTGGGACAACTTTGACTTTAATAATGATGATTACTAAAGGTTACTATTTGCCCTTGTTAGATTTTAAATGCTCATCTTAATTCTGACCTAGTTTGATATCTTTAGCCTGTGTGGTTATTAACTTCTAGTTGTTTGGTTTGATTCTGGCCCTGCTTCTAAAATGTAGTAGGGATGGGTCCATCTTTAGATGTATTTGATACAAATATGTTTGCGTTCACTGGAATATTTTTGGTTAAGTTACTTTGCTCACAGTGTGCAGATTTATAAAAGGGTCAGGCTTTTGTCCTTGAGTCAGAAGTCAGCAGATGTCCTAAGGGGACCGGAATGAGGGTAATGTAAGTATTCATTACATTATTGAGCGGTTATTTTTAACTATCATCAGTTTGATTTGCATTGTTCAGTTGTTTCTTTGTATCTGGGTACACTTGTTAGTTTGTCTTTTAAGCAGACCTCCAGAATTTCAAATACAGCCTTGAGAGATTTGGATACAATTTACCATCCATTCCAGTGTTCTGCACTCATTTTGATAAATCTGCCATCCCAGCAGCAAATTCTAAGACTTATAGCAGACTCAGAGAGCGAAAGTGGATTTTTTTCTCTCTCTCCTGCATCAACAGGGGGAAGAAAAAGAACAGCCACAGGAGGAGGAAAGTGAGGGGACTGGAATTCCTAGCAACTACATGCTAACACCTCTTCCCATGACCTCTACTACACTGCTGATGGAGAAGCCAAAACTGGACTTAGGTCTTTCTGGTCAACGAGGAGTAAAGCAGGAAACCCCATTCCATTTTCTTCACAAAAGCTTTTGACAAGGATTCCTACAGAACAGTTCTGCTCATTTATATTGTATCCTCGTGAATGTAATATAACTTGTTACTTTTTTTATCCACTCAAAATATTATCACGTCCTCCCTTTCCAAAAGGTTACAGCTTCTGTAATCCTCATCTCTGCCTTTCAAGGAATTAAGCATCTCCTGCCAGCTCCATTCTTCATTGACCAAAGAGACACCACCTAAGTCTCAATCAGCAGTGCCTGCAAGGGGTGGGGGGAGGAGTAAAAACAAGTCAAGATGGCCATCATGGAAGCATGACCAAAGCCCCATCCCTTTTGTACATGCATCAACATCAGACATGTATACAAAGGAGTGGAGTTTCAATCACACTGTCACATCCACCATTTTGCTCTATTTTATCACCACCACCCGCCCCTCCTGCAGATGCTCAAATTCCCAGTTTGTTTCATGTGAAAAACTTCACTTCAGAAATTGCATACCCATTGGAGTATTGGGCTGGAGATCACTAAAACAGGAGCTTCTCCTGCTACATTAAAAATAAAATTAAAAAAATTCAAGAACCACTTTCAAAAGCAGTGTTGTATGTTACAAAGAAGAGAGAGCCAATTTCGTGTAGTGGTTAAGGCACCAGGCTAGAAACTGGAAGACTGGGAATTCTAATCCCACTTTAGGCACAAAGCCAGCTAGACAACCTTGGGCCAGTCCCTCTTTCTCAGCCCTAGAAAGAAGGCAAGGGCAAAGTACATCTGAAAATCTTGCCAAGAAAATTGCAGGCAATCAATGTCCGTGAGATTTGTAACAATGTTACTGTTTTAATTAAAAACATATTTTAAAAAAAATTCTAAGAATGCATTCAACTTTTGTGCTATTTTAGGGTAATGAAAAAGCATACATTTAGAATCTGGAATATCTTCAGTCTGGAGCTGATGAAGCATTATTGTAGCCAAAAACTGATAAGTAACTTTGGGGATTCGTTCAAAGGGCTTATAAGAGATGCTGCGTTGTGAAATAACAAGGATGTCATTGAACAGAAAAAGTCTAAGATCGTGGGTATGTTCATACAACCTGAAAAATTGAAAGAAGATTAGTTTCATTAACGTGTTAATGTAATCAATTTATAAGTAATCTAACTTAATCACAGGAGAATATTCAGATGTAGTAAGCTTTCTTTAAAAGTATTATAGTGAAAATGGATTAAAAGTGTATTAAAAAAGAAAAAGTCTATACCTTGAGAAGTACAGTATAACACTATTTCAGTGTGCCCATTTTTTACTATGGTATGTCCTAAGAATCTTTAGCTACTGCTATGGAAAATAATATTTCGAGAATTCGGTTTAGGTAGATATATTTCAATATTTCTTTGTATTTAGGTGATATACAGCTGATGTTTCCAAACCTCATACAGTCTTCTTTTAGTATTTTCAATGAAAAAGTTTTATTTTGCAAAGTGTCAAGGGTTTTTAATTATTAAAACCAAGTATATTTATTTATTGCCCAACCCAAATCCTAATCACTAGTTTTATTCATGGTTCAAGCAACACATAGACTTCTATTATCTTAGGGATTGACAGTATTGCAAAGTCTAAGCACCTCTGAATTATATAAATGACTTAAATCTTAAATATGGAAGAACATATCCAGAAACAATGCCGCATGTGCTCTGCTTTTATTTCCTTGTTTTACACAAGAAGATTCTATCATCTTTGAAACCTTTTAAAATACTTGTACATTTTAAAAAGTTATAAATGCTCATCTGTCCCCATTCTCATGGCACTGTTTTCACACAGTGCTAGCTCAATCACAGAAGACTATTCATGTTGACAAGATGAATAATTTGCTAATCATTAAAGACTTAAGGTGAAGAACACAATATTGTTAGATATGTTGATCATAGGTATGCATGAGTCTGTGTATCATATCCAGGCAGCTTTATCAGCTGCCCCCAAATCCTAAAGCTACCTGTGTGTTATTTTAAAAGAAGCAGGGGAGTCTAAAGTTCTCTGGTTTATATTAACAGCTTAGTTAAATGGATTGTTCAGTGTTGGAAAGTGCTAGAAACACAAAATACTTTGGACTGATACAGTAAAATACAAAAGTTAACTAACTTTATCCAATTAAAATATTTCCTTAGCTGTTCAAACTCAAAGTTCAGACAGTGAGAACCTTATTAAAAATGCTGATTTGTTGTACATTTTTGGAGTGACAAATGTTAGTGGCACGATTGTCCATAAGGTTTTGCCCAATGATATAGTTATTTTATTTTCAATTGTATTATTGTCATCTTACATTTATTTTTTATCTTTTTATTTATAAGTGTATAAACCATTTCAGTCAAGATTACTCTAAGCAATAGCTGCAGCTAATGCATTAGTAACAGTAATATACAACAAGAGAAATACAATAGAAGACTAGAGTTTAAATTAGGATTAATATTTCTGGAGCCAGGAGCTGTACCGCACTCAAGTCCCAAGGGTTTCCAGATCAGCCATGTTCTTATGACCTTCCAGAAGGACAGGAGAATGGAAGCTACCCTTGCCTTAGGGGGCAAGCTGCTCTTTAGGGGCCCCTAAAGAGAATGCCCCCTTTCAGGACCCCTTGAGGGATTGGGACCTTCAGCTATCTGTGCGGGCATTCTCTGTGCCCTTGGATTGGGTGGGCAGAATCTCTATGGATAAGGAGTCTCAAAAATAAATACTGTAGGGCTTTACAGGTGTGTTTATACAGGTGTGTTTATGTTTATGTTTAGATTATACTATTTTTTTAAGCAAAGAATTTATTGCAATCTAAAAAGGAAGGTATGCAACATGACACACATTATTTACACAGTAAATAATTCAACACCATTTAGCATTTATTATCTGTAGGGTCTCCATTTAGAAAGAAGAAAGCCTTAAAAAAACAAATGGAGGGGCATTTGTATAAAGCTACTCTACATTTTGTTTATATTATCCCTTAATATTTCTAATGATACATTTACCTGAATGGCATATTCATTCTCTGAGAACAATTTAGCTGGGCCACATCTTGCACCATAATTAGATATCTACTGGGTTTCAGTAACTGCTGTGAATTAGAACATTAAAAATTATGCAGACTGTTACAAAATTGCTTCATTATTATAGTACTTTGCATTTGATTGCAATTTTTATAAATCACAGACTTCTAAAATGTTTAAACATCAAGAATACTTTTTGCCATATTGATCAAGATTCTGTTTACTCTTTATTTTATGCATTTATTTCAATCTATATGGTCACCCATCTCAACATCGTGACTATGGGTAGCAAACAGCAATTAAAAAACATAAAATAACAACACTCCAATAAATATGTAAATGGATGCCAAGGTAAAAAACAATCTGATCCAACAATACAACCATCCATGGGCTCTCTCACATATTCCAGCCCCCGGGTCCAGTGGCACAACCAGATCTTCAACAAATGCTTGTTGACAGAAGCTGTGATGCTACCAGCCTTGAAGGAGACAGTGGTTCATCTTCTCCTAAATAGGTCATTTCTTGATCCATCCAGATTTGATCATTTTCATCCTATCTTTTTGGGGGAGAATATGGTGGTGATTCATTTTCATGGGATCCTAGAGATAATAGATTATCTGGATCTTTTTCAGTTTGAACCCTGACTGCATTGGTTGCAACAACATTATTGGTTGCTCCAGCAGATGATCTCTGTCAAGACTTGGATGGGGAGAAATGTACCCATCTTACTCGTCTTTGACCTCTTGGCAGCTTTTGAAACCATCAACTGTCACATTTTTCTGGACCATCTGTGAAGGTTGGGAATGGGAGGAACAGTTATGATTGTTCTACTCTTACTTGAGTGGGCAGTTCAGTCAGTGGTAAGGCAGGAACTTTGGTCAAACTTTTGGATGCTCCAATTCAAGGTGCCATAGGGTTTAGTTTGTTCCTGCATGACCTGGGAGAATCATCCATATTAATATTAACATGCTGATAACACTGCCAGCTCAGACCAAGCTGGAGATGCTATGGAGATCTTGAACTGGTGTCTGGAAATAGTTAGGGTCTGGAATAGGGAGAAACAGATTCAAACTAAACCCTAACAAAATCTAAACCCTAACAATATGAAGCTACATGTGTTTATCAACATCAGGGTTGTTAACATCGAACTGAGTGGCTCTTGCTGGGATCATGATCTCCCAGAATAAGCTGATCCTTGAGTAGGGTTGGGGAAGGATCTTCCTGTGTTGACAACTCCTGCTAAATCAGCAGGTGGCAGCTGTAGCAAGGGGACTTGTCTCTCAGCTTTGGTTGACACAACAGTTGTAGCTCTACTTACCCACAATGATTTGGTGTCAGTAACTCACACCCAGACCACCTTGCAGCTGAGCTATCATGATGCACTCAACATGGGGCTGCCTTTGAAGATGACTCAAAAGCTACAGAAACCTTATTACTAGTCAAGGACACTAGTTACCATAGAATAACACAACGAGGTACAATAATGAATTTGCTTCATTGGTTGCAGTAGGCTTCCAGACTCAATTCAAAGAGCTGGTTATCACCTGTACAGCACAGCATCAGAATATATCACTATGATTCTACCCTTCTGGTCTATAAATGTTATAAAATACATAAATATCCCTCTTTTTTCTCTGGAGGAAGTGTGTGTAGGAATCTTCTGAATTTCCCCCCCCATATCAGTCCTATAGGGTAGAACAGGCTGAAAAACAGCAACTAGCAAAAGTTACCCAATGAGTTCTTTGCTTAAGTGGGATTTGAGCCTAGTTCAAGTCTAATACCTCAGCCACTATGTTCTACTTGCTATAAGTTTTCATTTATTTTCATGGTTTTATTGCTTTGTACACACTGTCCTGTAATTGACACATTCCCATATGGCACTTTTTAATACTTTTCCAGTCAGACTTCCTCATTCATAAAAGGCACTTGCTTTTCTTAGTCATTCTCCCAAAACACATTTCTTTGATTTTTAGTAAATCTATTAGTTTTCTCTTTGCCATTTATTGTTGAGCACATGAAACTCATCCTATGGAAACATCTTCTGACTTTATTACACATAAATGCCATGCACTTGCTGTGCACTTCGGTTCATATAAACAAAGCTGAGTACTTACAGGACCTCCTTGGATGAGCCTTTGTGTACTCAATAGCTGATCGTTTCTGCCCACATTCAGTTTCAGCTAGAAAATTTAATATATGGAAAGCAAGTTGGTGCAAGGGATCTATTTTCACAAGTTTTAGAGGGCTGTGCTACATAATGTAAGAAGACATTCTTTTAAAATGTTAT